GAAAGTTCTTATTATACTTCCTCCTTCTCTTCTAATCGCTCTCTCTCTTATGTCTTCTTTAGCTTTTAATATTTTATCAGGTTAGCTTCCCAAACACTTAAACCTCTGAGAAACCCCCAAGGACTGCTGAAAAGAAGTTTAAAGTAGAAGAAAGCCAAACTCTTATTCTTTCTGAAATGCAAAGTTCAGTGTTCTTCTGAGTCACAGAGGCTTACCCACTCTCTCCCTTCTCAGGTCTCACTTTATAACCCTGCTTAACCCCTCCTATCTGGTATTCTCTAGTTCTCCTTGTGGGTGTGACTCTGTTGACTTAGTGCAAAAGCTAGCTCTCTTCTCTGGTTTTTAGCTGTGCCACTCCCAGAACTTCTTAGCAAGACTTTCCCTAGTGGGCTCAATTGAGGACCAAATGATGATACCAAGAGCAAGATATGTCCCGTTGCTTGCTTTCCCCAAACCCTTCCAAACTTACACATCTCAGTAGTGTGGTCCTCTTCTGAGTGGACAGCTCAGAAGCCACATTAGTTCCAGACACAGGGCCACTCCTCCAGGCATTCATGGAGTGCCTTGTGGATGCACTTCAAGTTTAAGGCATAACCACTCAGACAGCATTTGTGGTAGTGACTGTGTGCCCTGGCTGTAAGTTTCATTGTCATTTTATTTGTAAATGAACCAACGTGATCGAGATAGAGGTGTGGTGTATCAAAGGGGGCAAAATTTTCTGGTCAGAAAAGAGGGGAAATGATAGAATCACAAGAGTGATTTTTTTTCATGTAACTCCTAACCCATATCTGTTGCAGCTGTAGAGGAGGATTTTGTGACATGTCTAGGCAGTATTTCTTTAAGGTATATTTCTTAAAGAATAATTACTAGCTGCACAGGTGCAGTAGTGAACCTAGCAGCCTAGGTTAACTAAAGGGCCTCATCTATAGGAAAACACACCAAATCAGAGTGGATCAGCCTTGCTATTTGATTATGCATACCTTGTTGCTTTTTTTTTTAATCTTTACAGTAATTAAATGATTGCCTTTTATGAAAACAATGAAGGAGGAATTCCTTTGACAAACAGGGGAAACATTAAAAAAGGACAATAGTATGAGTTTTAGAAGAACCTATGAAAATTTTTACCCTGGCTTTACCTTATGCTAGAGGGGATATTATGAGCAAGTCTCTGCACCCTCATAAGGCTTTCTTCAGCCCTGAAATAACAGAAATGAAAGTATCTGCCTTGTCCTTGTCGAAATTAAATGTCATGATCCACATAAAGCACAGAGTGCCTAGCACATCTTAAGAGCTATTTAACAGTACCTAGGTCTTGTTCTAAACAGATGTCAAAAGATACATAGACTTGCAAATGACTATCATGAGGAATAAAGTCTGTTATAGTCACAAACCCTGGGAATGGGATCCATGTCAGGCCATGCAGGGGCCACACAGGGAAGCACCACAGTCAGTCAGGAGGTAAAGGGAAGACAGGAGCTCCTGGGCCATAGGAGCTGTATTGTGGTTTCCATGGGAAGGAAGTGCACCACAGGGGGAGCAGACCCATGACTAGCTAGTTTGTTCTACTTAATAGTTATGGGGTGCAGGGCCTAGGGTTGTTTCTGGTGGTCTTCTTGCTGACCCAGGAGTGGTAAGGGCTGGGGAATATTGGCTGGGAGTCTGAAACCTAATCAAGGAGGTTGTGACCTGGCTCTGACCTGGTTGGTATGCATTCAAAAGGTACACTGCAGGCAAGTTGCTTGCTTTCTGTAGGGATTAGCTGGTCCTGGGAAGGGTAGTGCCTCAGCAAGGCCCCAAGATGTCAAAGCATCTAACGTGCAGAACTAAAAGATATGATTAATACAATCATTAAGATTGATCTATCTATCTATCATCATGCCCTCTAATTCCTTTGTGGTAGAGAAGACTGATGGCTATATACGGCTTCTGTGCTAATATTCAGGAACCTTATTTACCGTAGTGTGGTATCAAATTAATATGCGGAAACTAAAAGCCAGCATCCTTTTCATTAATGACCCTGAAGAGCTGTGTGTAGTCTGGATTTCAGACTTTTGAAAGAAGTAAAACAGCTAGAGAGGATCCCAAGAAGAAACACTAAAGGTAGAAAAGACCCTATAAAGGAAGATTGACAGATGTGGTGATTGGGGCTACAGGAGACACTTCCCCAAGAGAGTTTGACAGCCCTCAGCATTGGTTCCATTTAAAGGAAACCAGAGTGTGCAGACGTTATCCATATTCAAGAATTATTTAAAACCAACCACAATGGGCTCAATATGAAGGCAGCAAAATTCAACCCCAACTAAAGGAAAAACAAATAACCTCCTGAGCCAAGGCACCTGCAGTGGTAACAAACACACAGGGTATGAGTGGGAGCTGGGTCTCAGGAAAGAGATAAACACCTTTCAGCTTTGACAGAGATTATGTGTCTCAGACTGAAATGAACACCTAGACCGGTGACCTCTTGGTGTCTTTTTCTAAGGATTATCCGCCCCTGTTACCACTTATATTTTCTTGACTTCTCTCCATTAAGTCCAAAGAAAGCTTTACTTCTCACTTTCTTTTCACAGGGTACAACACACACACACACACACACACACACACACCACAGCTTTATATATCGTGAGAACAGATTGCTTTACAGAAGAGATCAGACTTGATATAGGGTAGATTTCAAGTACAGTGCAGATCTGGGTCCCCAGGATTGCCTATGTTTAGGTTAGCAGCTTAGAAGGGTGCAAGAAGGAGTGAGAGCTGAGGATCTGCCTCCTACCATCTTCCCAGGCTGATTTGCAAAAGTAAACAAGAGGGAACCGAGGTCACATGCATCGTACACATTGACTTGGTCCTCAGAGACCCCAGTCATCACAGAAGGAAGCAGATGAACTCGATTGTTCTTCCCAAGTAGTTCACATATCTTTCCATTTGTACAGTGTAAAAAAATCAGAAAGCACAGATGAAAAGAAACTTAAAATCACCTGTGGCCCCACCAGACACAGCTAATGATTTTTTTTTTTTCATTTTAGGGCATAATTTGTCTAAAGCTTCTTCTAAATATATAGGTTCCTTTTCTTTTTAGTCAAAAAATTTGATGATACTGGGTTTATTTCTTTTAAAATTCAGAAGTATATTTTATCATCTTTTTATAACAATTGTATTTCTGAAATTCCATTAACAGATGCTAAATTCCATTGTATGTGTATACAATATGATTGTCACTAGTGTTGACATTTAGGATCTTTCTAAATTTTTTCATATTGTAAATAGTGCAGCAAAAAATGTTCTTATAGGTGAATCTTTATGCCATTCTTAATATTCCCTTAAGGTATATTTCTTAAAGGGTAATTACTAGCTGCACAGGTGCAGTGGTGAACACCTGTAATCCCAGCTACTCAGGAGGCTGCTACAGGAGAATCACAAATTTATGGCTGGCCTGGGCAACTTAGCAAGACCTTGTCTCAAAATAAAAACTAAAAAGGGTTGGGGTATAATTCAGTGGTAGAGCACCCCTGATTTCAATCCCCAGTACTGTTTAAATAAAAAAGAAAAAAATGTAATTAATGGCTCAGTGGGCATGTTTCTAACAATTTTGATGTAACTGACAAGTTGGCCTCTAGAAAATTCCTTCAGTGGAAGAATACCCTTACCCCAACTACTTGTCAAGTTCTTCCGGACTTCACTTTCCCCTCTTCACCAGCGTCCCCTTTGCTGGGATCACATATCTTCACCATTAAAGCTTTGAAGATGCTTTTGTACCCTTCGTGGCTCTGCTTCATAGAAATTACTCTATTTATCCTATTTTTCTTTTGAGGACATGTCTAGCTAGCAAAACTTCTGAAAGATAAGTCAACAATTAAAAGATAACCAAAGCCCCTTCCTTGTATATTTGAAATTGAGAAATATACTTCTAAATAGCATTTTGGTTAAAGAAATTTATGACAAATCTAGAACATGTTCAAGTGGATAATAATGAAAATACTGCATAGTAAAACTTGTGGATTGCTGCTGAAACATAACTAAAAAGAACATTTGCAGCTATAAGAATAAACACCAAAATCAATGAGCTAAGAATCCTGCTCAGAAAGTTAATAAACAAACAAAAATTAAATTCCTGAGGCTAGTAGCTCCTTGTGCACCTTCATGCACCTTCTCATTTTCAAAACAGTACTGGACACATAAGAGGAACTTGAGGGACCTCAGACTGAATTTGTTAAATCTTAAAAGGCCATGACTCTGAACACTGGTATTACAAACTGTCAAGGACTGAGAAAGAGTACAAATCTGGCTGATCTGCCAAAATAATCCATCCAAGTGTCATCTAACTGCTTGCACCAGGACCCAGGGAGTGAGAGATGTCTAAGAGGCCACCATGGTGCATCGGGATCACAGTGCTCTAGGTCATGGTGTGGCTGCATTTTCCTTAAATCTGGGCATCCAGTTTGTGTTTATTTTGCTAAAAATATTCTGGAGCTTGGCTTGGTGGTACATGCCTGTAATCCCGGAAACTAGAGAGATTAAGGCAGATTTGGGGCCAGCCTCAGCGATTTTGTGAGACCCTGTTTCAAAATAAAAACTAAAAAGGTCTGGGAATTTAGTTCACTGGTAAAGCACCCTGGGTTCAATCCCTAGAAAAAAAATTAAAATATATTTTGAAGATAAAGGTTAAAGACAAACTCCTTTGTATCAGTCCATCGAACACATTGCTTCTGATCATCAGAAGGCAAGAGCAGGAGTCTTATCTTGTGCCTTTTACATAGACAACTGTCGGTTGAAGTTTAAAAAAGTTTTGCATGTGTAAGGGATGGAGTATTAGGCTCTGGGGATCAATTTTACCCAAGGAAAAAGAAGTGACTTTAATTTCATTAATGGTCTCCTGGATGATTCTGCTACAAGTTTAATTCTCCATTAAATATTAATGCTGCTCAGTGCTTAGTATACTGCCTTGAGTATCATACCACTCAAACTGACACTAACCTGTTTTATATTTTATAACTGAATCACAGGGCTTTTTCAGGAGAAGTCAGCAAAGCAATGCCACCTACTCCTGTCCTCGTCAGAAGAACTGTTTGATTGATCGAACCAGTAGAAACCGCTGCCAACACTGTCGATTGCAGAAATGCCTTGCCGTAGGGATGTCTCGAGACGGTGAGCTCCCACAGCATGGGGTTGTGAAACATGGACCCAGATCTGCCAGGAGATGCCCTCTCCCCACCCTCGCCCATCCCAGGCACCCCTGGCAGCGCTGCGGAATCCACAGCAGTTTTTTCTCCCCATAATTTACCAGAGTCAGCTGCCTGGCCCATGGGGAGTAGGGGGCAATATAGAGAATTGTCCCATAAGGTTTTCTAACATCAGAAGTTACAGGTAGATGAATTTATTGAAGGCAAGTGTCATCTAAAGGACTTTAATGAATATAATTCCTCTGGACATTTTCCCCCATAGGAAGCACATGCCAGAACTAATTGTTACCTGCCTTACCCTAGTAGTGTGCTGGCAGTTGGGATGAAGGAAGTTTTATGCTAACTGGATCTTTTGAATCACATGCCCAGGTCAAATATTTGTACATGCAGAATGTTTGAAAATAGTGCAAAGTGTGGCTAAAGGACAAATGCTCTTTTCATTAAAAGAAGTTATTTTAAGGAAAAGAGACCATCTACCATTCAATTATAGAACATTTTGAGATCTTCCCGGAAAACTATCTTAAGTGCACTGAATAATCAACACCAGATTTCAAGGCAGTTATTCTTATACATGGAAACTGGGCAGAAAGTACAGCAGGTCCATTTTAGGGACTTTCTCAACATGCTGGCTGTCTTGAGAGATCCCATCGAAGGAAGCTGTCTCCTCCAGTGGAATGGTAGCCTGTGGGCCACCTGTCTTCTCCATAGTCACATGCTCTTAGGGTCACAGACCCACCCAGGCATGACCCACCTACAAGGCCCCCCGTATTCCCCTACAAAAGTAAAGTTGTTATCATCAGAAGATACAAGTCACAGAACTTATGCCATTTTCTCAGAAATTCCTGAGACACACAACTCTGCAGGGTTCCTCTTCCAATGGCACTAAACTGACAAAGATAGGTACATCTCTTAGGAACCTGCAAGTTAAAATTACAATGTTATGTGTGCATTTTTTCAAGAGCTGTTCCTTGTATTTCACTTATTGGGAGATAACTGTTGTTAATGTTAAGGCAAAAGTTAAAGCATAATCGCAGAGTATGTTTCACCTATGGGCATGAATCCTGTTGGAGGTCCTAAAGTATCCTTAAATGCAAAAAATTAAGTAGCTACAGTATGCCTTTTGGAAAATTTACATATGAAGAGATAGCATGGATGGAATTAGGGGATTATGAAACTATGGGCCTGAAATTCAGAGCCCACACCAAAATCTCTTTACCATCTAACTGGCCCCATCTAAGTTTGTTATCTGAGTTGTAGAAACTGAAAACTGACCACTATTCTAGTTCACTTTTTTCCTCTGTGCAGAAAGACAGTACATCCTCCTTGATAGAAGAGTCCAGCACCTGGCCAGTTTGGTGGCCATGGTTCCAACTTTATTTCCCTCTCTCCCTCTTCCTGCCCCAAACTCGTGTGACTTTACTCCTCCAACCAGGAGTAAATTAACCAACAATCAGGAGAACCAAGTCCTCCAGCAGAGGCTTTATTCACATATAGAATCCAGCTGAAAAACAAATTAGTGGGGAAATTCAGACCAGGAAATCATAAGGTTTTTTTTTTTTTCTCCTTCTCCTCCTCCTCCTCCTCCTCCTCCTCCTCCTCCTCCTCCTCCTCCTCCTCCTCCTCCTTTCTTCTTTCTTCTTTCTTCTTCTTCTTCTTTCAATTATCTGGGTGTTTCAGAAGAAATCATTTGAGATTCTGAATAAACTGAAAAAGTGCTCAGTCACCACTTCACTTAAATTATGGAGACACATCCCAAGGAGAAGCATCACAAACACAAATCCACCCAACAGGGATCTTATATAGTATTTGCCCTTTCAAAATCTTGATATCCATTCTACTCAAGGCTAAAAGAAATCCACAGAAAGTGTCACTTAAAGAATGGTCCAAGGATTTCACAGGGGCTGCCAGGACCCACAAGTGGAGGAGGGGGCTTCTTAGATCAGGCCTTTCCATAAAGCTTCAAAGCCAACCAAGAAGAACCTCATTCAAGTGTACAAAACTGAGAACTGAATGAAAGTTGAGGTCGCCTTCACCTTGGTGTGCTCTGTGAGTCTTTGCATTGCTGCTCCTTGGTCTGAATGCTGGGGAGAAGGAAGAGGCCTAGGCTAGTTTTATAGGTGGTAAGCGAACAAGTGCCTTAGGTGACATCTCAGTGGTGCCCAGTGAGCCCAAGGATATGTGATGGCAGAAAAACAGGGAGGATTATCCAAGCATTCCCCTACCATCCTGAGTCTGTTTCTGAAACATCAGTTTCTCTGGGGTGTGCATTTTCCAGGGAAAGATGGAGCCAGCCTGTGTGGGGTGGGACTGTTTTTACCTCCGGATGTCCTTATTTTGTGATCATGTGGCTATTGATTGAGATTGAGACTTCAAAGGAAACCGTAAAGACTGCAGGAGAGGATAATGAAGAAAAGCACATTTACATGGTACCGTTTGGCTATTTTCTTCCAGCTGTAAAATTTGGTCGAATGTCGAAAAAGCAGAGAGACAGCTTATATGCAGAAGTGCAGAAACACCGGATGCAGCAGCAGCAGCGCGACCACCAGCAGCAGCCTGGAGAGGCTGAGCCGCTGACACCCACCTACAACATCTCGGCCAACGGGCTGACAGAGCTTCACGAGGACCTCAGTACCTACATCGATGGGCACACCCCCGAGGGCAGCAAGGCCGACTCTGCTGTCAGCAGCTTCTACCTGGACATACAGCCCTCCCCAGACCAGTCAGGGCTTGATATCAATGGAATCAAACCAGAACCCATATGTGACTACACACCAGCATCTGGCTTTTTTCCCTACTGTTCGTTCACCAATGGAGAGACTTCCCCAACGGTGTCCATGGCAGAACTAGGTAATGTCTTGCATGCTTCTGCTGGGATGCTCTGCTTACGCCCTGGGTAGTAAAGGGGTATGTTTGACTTTCCTCTGATGAGTTATGTTGTTAAAATGATGCAGTTCACTGTTACCATCTAGGCTACTTCAGATTCCAGCCCACTCCCTTGCTTTTGACTGTCCATCATTTCCCATAAATGCTTAGCCTCTCAGCATCAAAAATGAGACAAAATTAAGGAAAATTCTGCAGAAAACATTAAGCATAGGGAATGGTCACATTAACTTCAACATTTTTTTTTTTACTTTAGTCATATTCCAGATATTGCTTTGTACCTAAGGTCACCAAAAAATGGCAGTTTACAAACTGAACCTGGCCCACAGACATGTTTTTTGGCCAGCACAGAATTTTTTAAAGTGTTTGGTTACTAAAATTAAACTTGCTTTTGTTTTGTTTTGTTTTTGATGGACACATAATAATTTGCATTATGGAGAAAAATGTGATGCTTTGATACATTGTGTAATAGTTAAATAAGAGTATTTACCATATCTATTCCCTCATACATTTATAATTTCTTTGTAGTGAAAAATTTTAAAATTCTCTCTACTAGTTTTTTTTAAAAAATATTCATTACCACACGGTTAACCACAGTTACCCTATTGTGCCATAAAACACTAGAACTTATTTCTCCTATATAACTGTAAGTTTGTACTTGGTCAGTCTCCCCTACCCCCATCCCAATAAACTTGGACAGTTATGAAAACTTTAGATTTTCAGCTATTTGTATAAGGGGAGGAAAACTAATTACGCTGGACCGGGCTTTGTGAATGTCAGCATCCAACTGGTACCAGTCAGGGGGTGACACCTCCTGATAGGCCCACCCCCACTTCTTCCATTTGTATCATTTGTCCTGTCCCCTATACACATTTATGTATACTATAAATATTAAAAATAAATTAGCTTCTTCACCTGAGGATGGATATTGTTGACCAAATTTATATTTTATATAAGGCTCACCATACCCCACCCCCTCAATCCCATTTCCTTATTGCTGGCACATGACTGCTTCTTGGGAGACGTGACCTAGAAATGTTGATAACACAGACAATGGAAAACTTTCCATTTCGAGGAAGTTATATTAACATCCTCTGCTATATTTAATCGATTTTTAAATACAGCACTATTATTAGAAAAACTTTGACAAGAACCTTTGCAGTTTTAGAATTTGATCTTCTCCTCCTAGTTATTCCTCACACAAGGTTATAATCCTTTGGGACATTTCAATTAGTTGCTGTGGAGATGACTAAGTTAATACGAGGAGAGAATGAAGACCTCAGATGGAAAAGAACCAGCAGGTTCTGACTTGAGCACAGAAATCCTCAGTTCACAGAAATAATGGCTGTGTTCTTTAGAGGGTTGCTCCACCTCTGTACCCCATAAAACATCTTTTAAGTGAAATTTATATTTCCAGTAAAATCTTTCTCCAAATAGAACAAATTGAATGTTCTTTAAGGTTTTTACAACAAGCATCTCTTTATGGGTCTAAATTTAAATCCTCAAGAGCAGGGACATGTTAAGCCTGGTCTTTAACCACTGAACAGCATTAAAGGTGTATCACAGCTCTTTTGATTAACAGAGAAACCTCTGAACTAGAAGCCAAGCTGAGCAGATGTAGGTTTGATTTTTTTTTTCTTGAACTAGAACAAAAACCTTCCATTTTTGTCATGAAATCTTGGTTGCCTGAGCCTTAAGCAGAACTATAATGAAAGTAAAATTTTCAGAAATGAATAGGGATTTGATTGAAAGCTGACATGATCCCATGAAAAATGACCTGACTCATTTTAGGTTTGCTTCCACCTTACCATAAATACTAGTGAATCTATCCTGTTTGCTTGTCAAATCTTCAATCCTGAAATAAATCCATAGAGCTTAGCCAAAGTGATGCCCTTGAACATGGCACTTTGGCTAAAAGTGCACTAATACCTGACTGGGGTCAGAAATGGCTGAGCTGATTGTCCCAAGTCACTGAACAAACCAACCTCTTCTTCTATAGCAGTTGCCTCCTGGGGCATCTGGGGAGCTCTGTGCCCTTGTACTTGATATTCTTTTGAAATCACGATTTTTCCCCATGTGTTATATCATATTCTAGGATGAATTAACTCATAACTATGAGTAGACCCAAACTCAAAACTAAACTAGAATTTTTCTGAAAAGGCAAAAGTTGGGTTCTAATTTTCTTTCCCATTTACAGATGCAGAGTAGTTCATGAAACTAAAAGTAGCATGAAAATGACCTAGGACTTACTTTGCCACTGTAAAGCCACATAAAAATCACTTGATATTTCTTTTGTGGCTTAAGTCCTATTGTCCTTTTTAACTGAGACTCTTGATTTCAAAATAAGCAAACGTTGGCATCATATTTTCAACAAATGAAACCAATTGCACAACAGGAAAATTGTAAATTGACATATCCTAAGTACAGTTCTATCTTTCAATAAGAGTACTTACTGCCTGTTACTTTCATTAAAATAGAAATCATATTTCATTAGGAAATTTTACCCTTGATGTGCAGTTGGTACCTGAATTATACATTCCATATTTTTTTAAAGCACTAATTGTGTCTTGTTGACTATAATTGTTAACTAATGTTGTGCAGAAAAGATGAGTGACGTATTGGACATAGAATGAGACAAGTCAGCTTGTGTGAGCTGTGGTCATAGCCTTGCTATAAGTTGTACCAACCACTATAAGTTTTGTGACCTGCAAGCTGCAGTTTCCTTACCTATAGAATATAAAGGTTGAATACAGACTCTGAAGACAGGTTGTCTATGTTAAATACATAGCTCTGCCATTTTCCATCTGTGACACCTTGAAAGATGTCACTTGACTTCACTGTGGCTCAATTTTCTCATCTAATAAATGGAGACGGTACTAGTACCTTTTTCCTGGGATTATAAGGATTAAGTGAGAAAAAATATATATTTTCAGGACAGAAGTAAATTATATGGATCTGGCACATGGCAAATGCTATGTAAGAGTTATTTATTATCATCTCATTAATGTCATTATCTATAACATGAGCAGAGTTTGGACCAGGTGGTATCTGTAGTTCCTTCTCACTATGAAAGTCTGAGTTAGTTGGAAGCCAGGATCTTCCATCTGCAGTGTCTAGACACTGGCAGTACTGATGAAACAGTCATGGCTGAGGAGGGGAACGGACTTGCCCTTGTCACAAAGTGAGATAGATATCTGCTGAGCTCAGACCAGAAAACAGCCCTCCTACCTCCTGTTTCTGAGGTATTTCACTATTCCACGTGGTTTCTCTGAGAAGCCACACTAACTTCTTAACTTTTATTCAGCCTGAACATATTCTCCTTTGCTGAAATGGATATTTAAAAATAGCAAAATGTCTAAAATCTTCGAGTTGCCAAATCTATTATAAATTGAAATCAAAGACAGCAGTTAGCAGTTGGTGAGAATGCAGCTGCTGCCCTCTACTGGTATGTCATCTACATTGCCCTATTCACTAGCTGTTAAAAATCCTGACTCAGGTGGAAGTAAGTGGCAGCTTTGGGGTGCCAGTGTTGGGGATCAAACCCAGGGCCTTGTGCATGCCAGGAAAGCACAGTACCATAGACTTTTATCCCCAGTCCTGGCAACATGTTTGAAGATGAAATGAAAACACAAGGTTCTGACTGACCATATTAACTGGAAAAGAGATACAACCTGCAAGAGAGTACTGTGAACTGCTTCTCACGGGTCACCTGCAGGAGCCCCCAGCTTCCCTGTGAACACTTTTTACTTTAGTGTTTCCATATTTGCAAAACAGGAAAATTGTAAACTTACATTCTAGAAACTACCTCATATAATGAGAGCTCTCTCTATAGAACACAGTTCACTACGTTATTTCTGCATTCATTTTTTGGTTTCCAATTTCCATTATTTTTGTCTGTACTTTCTTCCTCACTAGCATCATTGATTCTAAGATATGCAATTTGCTGGCTTCTCCCTCTTTCCCTCAAATTCTGTCTCTTTCTTTCCTTTAAATGTTTTCTTGTGTTTCTGTTTTATTTTGGTATGCTATTTATTCATGCTGTTTTAGTGTCTGTGTGTTGCCAAATAGGGCCATTAAGATTTATTATGTTTCTGTGTCTCCAAGGAGATTCTAGTTTCAAACTCCATTTAGGTGAACCTGCTCTATTTTCATACAAACAAGTCTCATTCTGTTTGAGGGCGGAAATAACAAATTTACAGACACTCCTAGTAGCATTACCAAGTTTGCATTCAGCACCATTCTTTTAGATGGCTTGCCTGTTATACATCCAAAACCCTGGAAGGAGAGTAAATTTTGGGTATGGTTTCATAGTCACAGAGTCTTGTCAATTCTTCTTTTAAAACATTTTTAATTGCCCTCCTTTTTCAACCTGCTCCAGGCTCTTAATCACTCATAACTAGACTCCAGGAGCCTTCTGATTGGTCCCCCTGCCCCACCTCTCTTGTTTAGTCCATCAAGCATAAAACTGCTTATCCTCTGTCTTTAGGTATGATTTTAAATATGTCAGCTCCCTCTGGAGAATCCTACTAGTTCCCTTTGTTTCATTAGGAACAGATTAAGTCCTCACATTGTAGATTCTCCAGGTGTTGGGCCCTTACTTACCTATATTTCTGTCTTGACACAATTACTTTATCACATCTGCCTGTCCCTATAAATGCCATATTCGGTTCCTTCATCCACCACCCTTCCTATGCAGAGCTGGTGTACCTTCTCACACCCCGATCTCTCCCTGAAAACACTACCCATCCTTTAGTCTTCAATGCCAAGAAGCATCTTCCATTTCAGCATTGATCTCTCCCTTTCTTAATGGTGCCTGTTATCTTTTCCTTTATCTTCTGATGAAATTCACTTTCACACTTTATTATCTAATGCCTTGAATTATCCTTTCAGTATGTTTCATGCATGACCATAGATTATAAATTGCTAGGGAAAACTTCTTTGGCATCCATTTCCTCAAGATTTCAAACTCCTTACTCTCAAGCATAATAACTATGCAGCACATGCTAAGCAATCCTCCCTGTTCTAAGTGCTCACCTTACTTAGTTCTTACAGTGGCCCTGTGAAATAGATATTGTTCCCCTCATTTGAGGAAACCAAAGCCCAGAGAGGTAAAGTAACATACTCAAGATGGCAGAGCAAATAAGTAGCAGGGCTGAGATATAGACCCAGACAGTCTAAGTGCACAGTCTCTCTCTTAACTGCTATTTTCAGGAAAAAACAAAAGAAATGCATAATTGTCATCATAAAAGAATATAATTTCCTGGTTTTTAAAGAGTAATTTTTCCTAGAATATTCAAAAAATTTCAAGAAGAAGCCATGTCAATCATTCCCCATACCTATCTAGGTCAATATCTGTTCATTACCAGATATTGATGTTAAGCACAGAACAAGGTTAAAGTCAGCAGGGCCTCTGAAATCATGGTCTCATCTTGAAATATTGGCTTTGTAAAGTCCCTGTCTTATATCTTCGGGTTCTCAAATACAGAATAGTTCCAAACCGTTTGTTTAAATATGTAAAGATAATCAGAACTCAAAAGCTGGCATTATACTTATTCCTTTCTAAAGCAAATGTTAGGTGGAAAAATTATTATCCTAAGAAAGAAGAATGTGGCTTTTCATGTTTGTGATCTCCTGTTTTCTCCTTAGAACACCTTGCACAGAATATATCTAAATCACATCTGGAAACCTGCCAATACTTGAGAGAAGAGCTCCAGCAGATAACGTGGCAGACCTTTCTGCAGGAAGAGATTGAGAACTATCAAAACAAGGTAGAATCTGAAGGCTCTTTCTTAGGATTGTGGAAATGGTGTTTAGGTAGGCTATTTATTCAGAACCCAAGAATGGTCTCATCAGATAGCAGATTTCTGATTAAAAATTATTCTTCCAGAGATGATCATGTCCTTGAGGGTTTGTCATCCTACTGAGATGCCAGCATGTAAAATTTCAGCAAAAACAAACAAATTCTATTGTGTTTTATAAGTACACACACATCTCCTTCTCTTAGTCACCTGGGGACTAGATCAATCAGCTTCCAAATTCCTATATGAATTGGAATTTGTCCTAGTATCACAGTAGAAGATTTTATAAAGTCCAGAATTTGTTGCAAAAAAAAAAAAAAATCTCAGCCTCATGTTTCCAGTGGTTATTAAGAAGGACTTTAGACAACACGTACAAACATGAGGTTGGAAACTGTGATCATAACTCTGGTCTGAACCTAGCTAGGTAAGTCTGACAGTCCTGCTACTTGCTTTTTTCTATACAACACTCTGATCAATAAGCCACTAAAATGAGAGGGAAAGCTGGAGATGGGATTAAAATAATTTTACCTTTAGTAGAAGACAATGCTTGGGTTTTCCTGATAATCATAGAAAAGACCAAGGGGATTCTCTCTGTTAATCCTCCCTTTCATGTAACATATGGAGAAACTAACACCCCTCCAGCCAGCCAGCGTATGGCTGGAGAGGGAAACATCAGGCCCAGACCATGATTCCTGGCTCCGAATCTAAGGTTTCTTACACCCTATCACTAGTCTTAACAGAGACTGGGGAAAAGTAAGCAAAGACACAGATCCAGGTCTCCCTGTAACTGCACTGGAGAGTGAGTATATAAAAGGAAACTGAGAGGACAGGTTGGAGAGTAGCAGTGAGTTGCTTTGTTAGCTATTGAGGTTGCAGGTAACCCCAATAGCCAAAGCTGCAGAGCAGAAGCTAGAAATAAGTAAGAAACAGCAAGACATATGAAACAGGATTTCAGAGTCAGAGATGCTTAGATTTGGGTCCAGCCCACACATCTACTTTGAAACCTCTGTGAGCTTTCATGTCATGTCTGGACAAAAGAAAAAAATTCTTATGAAAATGCTGAGACATGGATGTCATAAAGCATCTAGCTTATAGTGGGTATACAACAAATTTTCTTTACTCCCCTCTCCCTCCTTTCCCTCCAAAAAGTGTTATTAAATGGGAGGGGAGGGGAGGGGGGATAGTAGAGGATAGGAAAGGTAGCAGAATACAACAGTTACTAATAGGGCATTATGTAAAAATGTGGATGTGTAACCGATGTGATTCTGCAATCTGTATTTGGGGTAAAATTGGGAGTTCATAACCAACTTGAATCTAATGTATGAAATATGATATGTCAAGAGCTTTGTAATGTTTTGAACAACCAATAAAAAAAAAGTGTTATTAAATTTCCCAAGGAAAAACAATTGCCTAAAAGAAGATCCTACTTTGCTATTCTGTGACCCAAGGCTAAAGCAGTAGCATGTGTTACTTCCCTGACTTCTTTTCAGCTTTTCTGCTCCAAACGTTCATAACATCTTGTCCTTATCCCATTGCCACCAAAAAGGTAAGAGGAATCAGAGGAGGCAGGAGGGACATGGAAGCAATCCTTACAACCCGAATTACTGGGCAACTGTTTATTGTTCCATCCTCTAGCCTTTCTGACTCCATTTCCACAGAAGGATTTTATAAAATAGGAACAAATCCCTTGTGCCAAGGAGACTGGGTAACCTGTATGTTAATGTTTTCCTCTTGAACAGCAGCGGGAGGTGATGTGGCAATTGTGTGCCATCAAAATCACAGAAGCTATACAGTATGTGGTGGAGTTTGCCAAACGCATTGATGGATTTATGGAGCTGTGTCAAAACGATCAAATTGTGCTTCTAAAAGCAGGTATGCGCTTTGCAAGTGAATTTTGATGTCTCTCCCTAACCTGCTTTCACCCGCTTGTTAAAGAAATGCTTGGTAAGGAAGGTGTCGAGAGCACTTTTTCTCCAGTGGTAATAGCTCAGGTTTTTCTTAGCAGAAACTGAGTTCTTTTTAAAGGTTTTTGAGCTGTGTTCAGGAAACATTCCTTCCATTTTGTTTTTCCTCTGGGTGAGAAGATGAAATTGAAGAAAGCCTGCATTCCCACATTTTCCGTCACCTGCATTTTGTGTACCTACCAGGTCCCAAGGCTATGTTTTTAGGAAGGGGCTTGTGGAACTCAGAGAATCTCCCTGGTTTTGCTGGTTTGTTTTGATACATATGAATAAGTGCTTTCCTAGCAACTATGAGACTCTGTATCGCAAGGTAGAAGTGTGCCAAGGAAGACATTTGTAAATTAGTCCTCATTTCAGTTAAACAGCTCAGCTTCTGCAGAAAGTCTTTGCGTAGGAATAAGCTCTGCTGTCTCAGAGAGACAGCAAGCTGATGTATCTGAGCCAAAGAGCTACACTGCACACAACACCCCCTGTGCTGTCTCTGTCTCAGAAAGCATCTCTACATTAGCACCTTAGAAACAGACTCCTCTAGATCAGATGACCTGAACCCATCCTGCCTCTGCTTAGGTTCTCTAGAAGTGGTGTTCATCAGGATGTGCCGTGCCTTTGACTCTCAGAACAACACCGTGTACTTTGATGGGAAGTATGCCAGCCCCGATGTCTTCAAATCCTTAGGTAAGAAAATCTCAGGGTGCCCTGTGTCTAAATTAGGACTAAAGGATATGTGGGTTAGGTGGAAGCTCTGGTGGAAACAAACAAACAAAAAAAAAATGGAAACGGATTGCCTGGAAACCAAAATTGGAGGATGTTTGTCACTATAGAAAAGTTACACACTTTCAAGTGCTTTTTGTCCCTATTATATATATAAAGATCTAGAGTTTATCTAGTTGATAATCGAAGTGACTTATAGTGTATGTCTGTCCTTCTAGTTCCCCTTCCAGGTTGTAAGGAACCACATTTGCAGGGGATGTAGCATTCAGATTACTTAGACAATATGATTCAATACATAAAATCACGCAGAGAATACAAACATAAGTCCTCCCAAACCTCAGAACAACAACCATCAATGGAAGGAAATGCATATATCAAAGAAATAGGATTAATGAAACTGTGCTGTATGCTTTACAAATAAGTTATTTTGGATTTCTATGATTTAAATGTAATTTAGTCATTAAGAAAAATTAAAAGGTATCTAAAATATATTGTTAAATGATTTTTTTAAAGCTGTATAACAAAAGGTGTTTTTAGTTAAGTGTAATACATCCTGTTCCCATTTAAGTATATACACAAAATAAGCAAATCTGAAAGCATAGACACCAAATGTAACCAATCTTATGGACTATAATTTAAAGAGACTCTCATATTGTGTTTTCAGCTTAGTTAAATAGTTGTAATAGTTTTACCACTAGAATGTGTCATTGGTTAACATTTTTAAGGGTGTTCTCTATAATACAGAGTTGAAAACATAAATGATTCAATTTAACATTTTAGTTAGATTGTAGCCATTAGATCTCACTTAAAATATGGATTGTGAAGTCAGGTAGCCTAACTTGGAATCTCAGGCTATCCTTCCTACCTGTGTGACCCTCAGGTACATTACTTATCTCTGCAAGTTTCAGTTTCCTCACCTCTGAAATGGGGATCTAGGGCTGTTTTGAGCTATGAGGAAATCCAAAGAAATCTCTTAGAGCAGTGCATGACATATTAATCACACAAAATTCAGCCAAAGTTGACTCTCATTATTTTGAATGATAATATTGATGGTGGTAGTTGATGATGATGGTGTTGGTAGTAATGGTGATGGTGGTGGTGATGGTAGTGACTGGGGCGATGATGGTAGTATAGCAGTGTGGGTGGTAGTAGTGACCGTGATGATGTTGGCTAAAATTTTTCTTTTAAGATTTCAAACTATTAAACTGGAAATATTATTACTATCCTCTCTGATCTTCAACTACTTGATCTCTCTTAACTTTCTTCCATATTTTTCCCTAGGATGACAACCAAAATCCTAAACTGTCTTTATTTTATTCTTGCAGGCTGTGAAGACTTTATTAGCTTTGTGTTTGAATTTGGAAAGAGTTTATGTTCTATGCACCTGACTGAAGATGAAATTGCATTATTTTCTGCGTTTGTACTGATGTCGGCAGGTAAGATAGCCAAATAAAAATAAAATGGTTTTTAAATGGTCTAGATAAAGAATTTTTACAATGTGCATAACTTTCATTGGCTATTGATATTTGAGAGGGTCCCAAGAGCAGCTCCATGTACTTTTTGAAAAAGATCTTATAATTTTTAAAAAGAGAATTGAATAAAACACAGGCAAAAATTAACCTCCAGAAGTGCTGCGTGTGGTAGGACAGGGTATTCTTTAACACCAGCTCCAAAATGACATGTCTATTTTAAGACACTCTACCTTTTATTAAATCCATTTGTTTGTCCTCCGTGAGTTTATCTGATTTTAATCTATGTTTTCAACCAGTACTGGCCTCTTGGGGACAATCACTTTTGCATATTTACTACTTTCTATTTGGAATTCCTACACCAATAGACTTTATCCTAAATATAATTCATTTGGAATTCTGTTGACACTTTTAGTTGCCCTGGATTATAAGACAATTTTCATATTTTACAAAAAGTCTAGCAATATCGATATGGATATTTCATCCAGAAGTACAATTATTACAAAGGGACCATGGTGGTTTTATTTGCAGTCACATGAGTATGACCTTAAATTCAAACGGCTATACTTTGGAAGGTGAAGATCCTTCCTTCCTTTAAATATCAGTAAAATTGGAAAAGTTTAACATTCTGTTTTATAACTGCCACAGATCACTTTTCCACTCCTTTAGGAGTGAGTTTGGAAGAGGACCTAAAACTGGCCTCTGCGTCTCTAAATATGCATCATAGCATCATCATCTCTATCTGGAGTCAGGAGGAAAGCACTCATTGGAGAAATGAAACTAAAAAGTACCATTTTCTTACGTTTAGATCGCTCATGGCTACAGGAAAAGGTAAAAATTGAAAAACTGCAACAGAAAATTCAGCTAGCTCTTCAACACGTTCTACAGAAGAATCACCGAGAAGATGGAATACTAACAAAGGTGAGAGCCAAAGGGTTCTACTTGGCATGGCCTAAATTATCCTTTGGCACAGATCATGCTGCCAGCTGCTCTTATAAGTCATATGAACAACCCCAAAAAGCATCAGCATGCCACAAACTACTAAAAGAAAAATAATCTCCATGAAAAATTCTGTTGAGCCTGGTGCAGTGGTACATACTTATAATCCCAGCAGCTCTGGAGGCTGAGGCAAGAAGGATCATGAGTTTAAAACAGCCTCAGCAACTAAGTGAGGCCCTAAGCAACTTAGTGAGACCCTGTCTCTAAATAATAAATTTAAAAAGGGCTGGTGATGTTGCTCAGTGGTTAAGTGCCCCCTGGGTTCAATCCCTGGTACCAAAAAAAAAAAGAAAAAGAAAAGAAAAGAAAATTCTGTTGAGCCAAAAGTCATTACCCAGGTTGAATCTATTTATTATATTGAAAACACAGTGTTCTATAATAATAGGGCAATTATAGGAAAATAGATTTTTTAAAAAAAAATTTTTAAAGAGAGAGAGAGAGAAAAATTTTTTTAATATTTATGTTTTAGTTTTCAGTGGACACAACATCTTTATTTTATTTTTATGTGGTGCTGAGGATCAAACCCAGCACCCCGTGCATGCCAGGCGAGCATGCTACCACTTGAGCCACATCCCCAGCTCAGAAAATAGATTTTTTAAGAATCAAATCATTTAGGAAATCCTTCTCCTGTTCCATCAAAGTTGGGCATAAAGCAGAGTTAACATTCTGCATTGATATAAATTAGAAAAAGAATCTTTGAATTTAGAAGAAGGAAGAAGTTATAAAGGACTAAAAGAGTCAGGATAATCATATATTCTAATATAATCAAAAGTAAATGGCTTTTATATTATTTTCTTTATCAATTTCCTATCACTATCTTGTATTCAAAGCATTACGGTTCCTTCCTTCCTTCCTTCCTTCCTTCCTTCCTTCCTTCCTTCCTTCCTTCCTTCCTTTCTTTCATGCTAGAAATCACCTCAGGTACCCCAGGCAAGTACTCTACCACTGAGCCATGTCCCCAGCCCAGGTTTCACTTTTAGTAATTATCTTTCACAATAAAAATATAGTAAGGATACCAATTTTAAATGCTAATAGCCTTCAGTGTTAGTGCTAGTTGTGTGTTTTTGATCTTAGAAGACGCTGCTCTATTCATTCTTAGAATATGTGTTTTATTACTGGAAAGGACGATTTGAACAATTTTGTTTTATTTTTCTCTTTGACTCAGTTTCTTTTCTCCTGATAGCCAAATTAGGTGAAAGGGGAAGTTGGGAGTGAATTGCTGTTTTGTTTTTTATCTTTGTACCTGTTGAATGAGTGACTAGAACAGGACTGGGGAATGGAAGGGTGAGGAGCTGTCAGGAGCTTCTCACTCTCTGTTCCATCTTCTTACCCAGATGCAAGGGCACCTAACACAGAAAACATATGCTGATATTCATCCTAGAAAGAATTATTCTGGGCTGAAATCACAAGCTTTTGCCTTTGAATAGAGCCTTAGAGTTTAAGAGTAGTTGTGCAGATCATGTTATTACACTCAACTGGTAAATGGTCAATCAGGGCACTTCTCACTATTCTGACTCTTCTTTTGCTTAGACCCAGAATAGCTCTGTTGTAAGGAAAGATATTTATTCAGAAGAAACTTGCCCCTGAAAATGACTAGTGCTAGTTCTTCATACAATATGTAAGGAATGCCCTCATCTCTAGCTGCAGTGCCCTGACTACCCAGGATTGACTGTTCCTCCACTTCTCCATCACTGGACCTCTTCTTTTTCTGCAGTGGTAGAAGGCAGAGTTTGGGACAGTAGAGCAGAAAGTATCCTCCCTGATCCTGAGTAGGGAGGAGGCAAGAACCTGGGGTTCTATCTGGATTCTGCCATTGATAAGTAGAGCCATCTTCTGCTTATGAATACTGTCTCAGGTTAAATGATTCATTTTCAAAAAGGCATTCAGTGTATTACTAGCCTACTAGGTTATGACTATATCATCATTTATTTTTAACCAATTCTCTATTACTGGATGTTTAAGTTGCTTCAAGTATGTATTTCCATCATACACAGTGTTGTAAAGATGGTCCAGATTCCTCGTTCTCCATTCTCATGCCTGTCCTCTCCTGACGTCATCTCCTTTCTCTACTTACAGTTAATATGCAAGGTGTCTACATTAAGAGCCTTATGTGGACGACATACGGAAAAGCTAATGGCATTTAAAGCAATATACCCAGACATTGTGCGACTTCATTTTCCTCCATTATACAAGGAGTTGTTCACTTCAGAATTTGAGCCAGCAATGCAAATTGATGGGTAAATGTATCACCTAAGCACTTCTAGAATGTCTGAAGTACAAACATGAAAAAGAAAACAAAACAAAACAAAAAAAATTAACCAAGACACTTTCTATGGCCCTGCACAGCCCTGGAGCGCCAACACACTGCACATCTTTTGGTGATCGGGGTCAGGCAAAGGAGGGGAGACAATGAAAACAAATAAAAGTTGAACTTGTTTTTCTCATGCATATGATTTCCATTATGCCTACAGATATGGACCCTTTTTTTGTCTCGACTTCTTGAGCGTTGACCTCTGTTTACAGCAGAAGGAGGGTACTAAAGTCGGAGGATGTCCTTTTCTTGTAGCTCACTGCCCACAGACTTTCAACAGAGTCGCCAATCTGTCAGTTACAGCAGAGAGTCCAGCAATAATCGGTGACTGGTGTGCATAGCGGAGGTTGCGGCATTACTTTGCACAACTTGCTCTTTGTTTGATGAAGGAAGTTTTTATTTTCTCACCGATTATTGCCAGTCAGCAGGATGGCATGAAAAGGGTCCATAGCACTAGCAACAATAGCATTATAATATATTACAGGGTAAATGGGCATGAAGACTATATATAGCTAAAAGAGATATTGTTTATATATTGTTTTAATTAATATAAAATGTAGTTACTGGTGTAGCTTTTCCTGTTGAATTGATAAGGCACTTTCATTTTGCACCTTTTTCTTTAAATTAAATGCTAGCGTGTTCACTGTCGTGTCGCATGTGCACCAGAAACACAAGTTTAACTGAGAAGGCTTGGAAGGTACGTCGGGAGGTATTTATGCTGCTGTTTACAAAATTACTTTTAAAAGACTGGCTGGTCATATCTAGAAATCAACATGTTGGCGTTTTTCCCCCCCACATGTGATTTTGGCATTAGAAACAGAACTCTCCCTAATTTATACTTTGCTCTTTGGTAAGCTCAAGGATAGATGTGTTTATGCTTCATACAAAGTTGAATGATTGATTGGTGCTGTGGACTTAAACCATCAAATTTTTTAGAACAAAGAAAGCTTTTCAAAATGCCACCTTTGGGTGGCAGGGGGAGGGGAGGCTCATTTTACACAGTTTAGTCAAAACTATGGACTCGGACTCAACTTGGAATTCTAACTGTTATAGAACAAAGTCAGCAACTAGAATATTGTGTTGTAATCTACATTTTTATGTGAAGAAGGACCCAAAGATTATATCTGGAGCAGATGCACATTCCCCATGTGAGGACAGGAAACCTTCTTTGAATGTTTATGTTCTTGGTATAATCCAGGAATCCTAAGAGTTCATCTCAGAGTGAGTTGATTCTAGACTAGTTGTCCCCAGATGCCACTATTCTAGAATATTGCTCTCCATATTTGGTAGGGAATACATAGGAGGGTGAGGGAGGCCTACCATGTTCCTCTTATTTAAATAGTAAATATTTTAAGCCTTTAAAGTCAAGTCGAGGCTAGCTGCAAACATTTACTCTTGTATTTATCTTCACTAGAAAACTGTGGACTGTAATTTATTTTATTGAATATTTAGAAGATTGTTTGGTTTTAGTTTTCAGGTGAGAAATATTGAGTTATTTTTGTTAAATTTTGTAGATTTCTTTTTTTTTCTTTATATCTTTCTTTTTCAGTAAGCCCCAGTGGGGGGGAGAGGAAGGAATAGTTTGATGCACAAGTGTGCATATTTTAAAAACAAGTGACCTTTTAGTAATGTGGGCATTTAGAAGATGATTTTGGTCACATTAGGGATGGGGTTCAAAGACCATGTTGGTAAGGAAAAAGGAATATCTTCCAGGGTGTAAAGATGGGAGTCCAAGAAGCCCTCTACACCCAAGAGCCTCCTCTGCCATAGGATCCCTCCAGAGTTTTCTGCAAGAATTTGCAGCCCCTGATATTGAGCTGGATTACCAGGGCTGGCTTCCCAGAGCACTTCATTGTTTTTAACTCCAACTTTCTGGCTTGTTTCCTGAGGCACTTGGAAAAGGGGAAGCAGTTATTTATGCAGAAGTGTGTATGAAGCCTAAATAACATCCTTTTTTTTTTTTCAAAAATATAGTAAGGGTTTAACCATAAATAGAAGATGAGAGTAATATTTACTTAAATTTCTTACAGGCATATAAAATTTTATGTGAGTGTTTATATAAAGAGGTTAATTGTTGGCATATAGTATTTATATTTGGGCAAGAAGGGTTAAATCAAACATTTATTTAAGTAAACATAGTTCCTTTAAAGATTAATAGTATTTATACTCTGAAAAGAGTACCAAGCTTAGTTCAGTTATTTATTTGTCCATTATCTTTTCTATTACTTCTCCTTCGGGGAGAAAATGGTGGTGTGGTTTGTGGGGTGCGGAGATTTTTTTTTTTATTCATAGTCACTAAATTTGGGGATGGTTTTAGTAAAGTATATTAACTTCTTTTTAACCAAAGCTTTCTGAATATGACCAGCCTCAGGTGCTAGCGCATTAAAGAGCAACTAAACCTAATTCCAGTGTCCATTTGTGAATAAGAAGAGCTAATTGAACTTCTCTAAGGGTGAGAGAGAAAGTAATGATGAACTTCAAAGAAATTCCTTTTCCCAGAAAGGATTTTGCATGCACCTAATGCCAAAAAAGAAAAAAAAAAGAAAGAAGAAGAAAGAAAGAAAATGATGCTCTAATCTTAGTAATAGTTATGCCATGGTGACATTGCTTTTATAGTAAACCAAGACAGAGAAAGAAGATGCTGCTTCTAGGTGTTTCTGAAAGAAAAGCAGGAGGTGGGCTGTCAGAGCAAAGTTCACAGACCATGTAGGAAAAGAATACTAGAGACAGAGACGTGCCCAGAGAAATTGAGGGAACAACTGACTAAAATTTGGATCTAAGTTGGGATCTGAAGTTAAACAATAAATGCAGTTGAAAGAAATAGAGTCCCAGAAAATGATGTGAAAACCTTTGCATTTTAATTTTCTTCTTTATCATAAAAACACCTGCATGGTGACACAAAATACTGGGTGATACCTGAATAATTATTCTTAATAATTTATATAAATAAAGTTTCTTAAACTTAAATGTCCAATAGCCTTTTAAAGATTAGAACCACATTGTCATCAACTTGGCTGCTATAACGCCATTATCTAATCTTTTGACATAAGATAAATGAGGCTTTTGTACAAAGCCAGAATACTTTTTGTTACAATGGTGTCCAGATGATCATATTATATTGTGAAAAACACTGGTCTTGGTCACAATGAGATCAAAAGTGCAGATGAAAGTGCTTTTTGGACAGTTTGAAAATTGTGTTAAAGATATGGATGTTTTGTAAGTGTTCAACATCCTAATTTCTGTTAAAGTTTGGGTTTCTTTTTTTCTTTTTTTTTTTTAAGTCTTCAGCATCCTAATTCACCCTTCCTAACGTAAAGAAAACATGACCTAAGACACTGCTTCTAAGTTTGGTTGTTCTTTATAGTGTGGATACCCAGATCTCTGTGAGCGTATGGGGGTGGGCTGAGGGTCAGGGGAGGAAGGAGTGTGTGTGTGTGTGTGTATGAGTGTGTGTGTGTGTGTGTGTACCCACGCGCCTGTGTGTGTGTGTGATTGGAGTACATATGATGTGCTTGTGTCGGACAGCTTCTAGGCTACTAAGTGTCAATGGAAAAAGAAAATGTATTCAAAATACTTAAATCAAAACTAGAGGATGGAAAAAAAAAAGATTTATTCTATACAAAGCCTTGTCTGGACCACTTTAGAGAGACTTCTATTTTTTTAACCCTTCTATAAATATTTGATGGCACTTGAAATATTCCTGCAATAAAATGTGATTTGTGTAAAGAAAAAAAAAGATTTTGTAATGTGAAACAAAGAAAGAAAGTAATGTAATTTTCTAAAAAAAAAAATACAAACAAACAAACTTTGTATTATTTTCTTGATGGAATTTGTCTATCTGTCTTTGGAAAACTTTTTATTTCATTGAATGTGCCATAGTAGAAATAATGTGTTTTTAGTTTTAGAACTAAGGAATAGCTAGCTGTTTGTGTTCCGACATTCCAAAATGCAAAACAACTTAGCAGAACCCTTAGTGGGAAGGTCTGTGAGCTTCTTTCGTTGTTGCTTTTTTGCACATGTTCTTCATCCCTCTCTAGTGCAATATGTACATAGAGCACTTGCGGGTGTACCTTGATCCCTCAGGGAAAAATACATATTTGTACAGTTTTTTGGGTTTTGTTTTGTTTTGTTTTTCTTTTGTTTTTGGCTAAGGAATGTCGATCGAATCACTTGTTATTGTTGAGGGGCAGCCAGATAATAATCCTAAAGCCACTGTTTCAAACATTGATTGTTTAAATCATGTGTCCTTCCAGCGCTATTATTTTAAGATAATAATAATATAATAATAATAATAAAGTTATTTTCTGACAGTTCTTTGTGCTGATTGGTGAAAAACAAAAGGGTAAATAAGCACCTTATGATTGACTTACTGTGAATGACAATCCATCTTGATATCAAGGATAGAAGCCCTTTCATTTTGGAGTTGGGGTTAAGAGTCAGAAACAATGTGCTCAGGGATCTTCTAAAACTCTTAAAACAGGGTGGCCAGTACTACTGGGACAAATTGTGTTTTTTATTATTAATAATAATGATAATAATACTATCCCTCCAAGGCACAAGTGAACTGTATAGAACTGCATGTATGTGTAAACTCTTCACTACCGTCTCATTTTGTTGAGTTCAAAACTTATGTGTTCTTCAGTTTTGTGTGCTTAAAAACACTGAATAACTTCCAAAGCAGTGAAAAGTTATGCCAGTGTGTGCAAAAGAAAAAATAATCAATAATACACCAACACAGAACATCATTCAAAGTGAAGACCTTACATATTCCATTTACCATTTCCCTAATAATTAAAATATGCATGATGTGTGTGTGTGTGTGTGTGTGTGTGTGTGTGAGTATTGCATTGCATGCTTTAAACTATTTCAAATTCTGTATGTTATGGATAAAAAAAAAAATTAAACCAGTGTTAAGACCTGCCTATCAGTACAGTGAGATGGGTGAAGATAAAACACAATTGTTTGTTTTAAAGCCAGCAAATAAATGTTGTTTTCACTATGTTTTTCTCTAGAAGCAAACCAAAAATCCCTTTATGTAAAATGTTCTTACTTTCATATTTGTAGTTTATATCTGATGAATTAATACAGAAGCTAATGTTTAAAGACAAATCAAACCCTGCCTGTAGGACAGCAACTTGATCTAGATTTTAGAGTTACATGCTACATTTGTTAAATAACCATTTTGTTCTCATAATTCCCTTATACTAGTCTCCATAAAGTCAGAGAGGCTCAATGTAATTGTTGACTCTGACTCTTCTACCGGTGGAATACACATTCAGCAGATTTACAGATTTTCTTACTACCACAGAAAATCATATTTTAGGGAAACATGTCTGTCAGATGTCAGATACCTTTACCTGGTTGGTTTTAACAATAAAGAACATGGAAAATGGCAGTAATTTCCTTCTTCTCATCTCCAGATACACACACACACACACACACATGCACACACACACACGCACACACACACACTCATACTCACAGGTTCCTGACTTTTTTACATAACATGTAACTGCCACTTCTTACCTCTAAAGTTATGATACAGAACTCCATGAAGGCAACTTTGTACTATGGATCACATTATGTGCCCCAAATGCAATTGCAACAGTCAATCTTGATCTATTGTGAGAAGTCTATAATACAGGTCTTCATTTTGTCCCTAAACACTAGTATATAAAGAGGCTCTGCCAGATTGATTACAGCACCCCTTTTATTGCTGTTTATTTTTAAGAGACAAGGCTCACTAGCAGTGTCTCCCAAAGCAATTGGTTTCACTTTTGGGTCTGTTTGCTTATTTGTGTGTATAAGTGGAATCAGTTTTGTCAGACTTTCAGAATAATTTTAAAAATAATCCAGAAGCCTGGCTTCATAACAAGGAGCCATTGTAGAAGGCAGGAATCTCCATGTTCAACCACACCCTCAGATCTTAGAGCAATAAGTACATTCTGTCATTTATTTGCTTACAAATGAATGACAGAATATTCAGTCCAAATAGCAGCAAACTTTTTTCAGTGATGCAACATAACATGGAGTCTTGTATAGAGAAAGAGAATATGAATGTTTTAAATGGATGCCTAGAGAATCTGTGTTTGCTATTTACATTTGATGTGCTTTGCCACATTATCAGTACCACACTTTTTTCTTCAATCCTCCTAGGAGCTAATGAAAGATAGCTTGCTGCACATGCCATGAGTTTGTTCCCTAAGAACAACAGAATCCTCTTTGGTGTTCATGCATGATTCCTGTCTCACTCATTTTTACTTTAATGTGGATGAATAGTATTTCTAGGAAGCTGATTATCATTGAACAGATTGCATATGTAAATGCAGATAATTCTTGAGCAATATAGTGAAAATGATTTCACACACAAAAAAATCCGTATGTACTGTATACATCTTCCTGAATCCAAAATTCTCTTATCCACAATGGTTTGGAATCTCATATAAAACAGTGGTAAATGTTTAAACATTAGGACATTAGCTGGCTGCTTCTTTAAATGTACCTGTATTGTCTGCCTGCTCCTTTTCTGGAGATGTGTTTTTGTATTGGATGTTTGGGCCAATGGGAGGCTTCAAGCTACAACATATTTTCCCAGTTTAAATATATTTAACATATGACAAACCCCAGACAAGGCTTTTAATATGTATAAAGAACTGCAGTGTTAGGTGGTTTATTTGCAAACCGTTTTCAATGTTGTCCATTTTTATGGCACCTTTAACAATATTCTTGTTTCCAAAGTACAAAAAAATAGGTTAAATAATCTAGCCATAACTGAATGTCAAGCAATAAAACAAATGACTTTTTGTGCATAGACTTAAAAAATACAAATTTTAGACATCTGCATGTAAATGCAATCTCTTGTTTACTGCTTTCTTCAACTTGAGCAATTGATTCCTTATTTACTATTAACTTAAGAACTTGTAATGGCCTGTAAACATTTTCTCTCTTACTCTTCTTTCAAATTTACCTTCGTCCCTGCTTTTGAGTCATAATATTTAATGTTGTTCTGCACATCTCTATACAGTTAACTTTTTGGCTTTCATTCTGTATAGATAAGAAAATGTTATATTATAAACAGCCTACTCAGTGCAAATATTTATCTGTTTATCAAATCCACAATATGCTGTATAATACTGGTTTTACTATATAATCTATTTTAGACATAGCTGTTTAGAACTAGAGTGTGCTATTTTTGTGTTTTTCTGATGTGTGGTGCTAGATAAGTTACTTTTGTGAACAAACAAAAAAATCCCTTTTATTCCTAGACAATACCACCTTTGGGTCTTGTTAATTTCACTGAGTATAACTATATATTTGTATATATATACATATATATATATATATATCTACCTGTGCCCAACTGGCAACTGTATCAGAGTGCTGGATTTGGGACATGCTTTTCTCTTTAAATACATAATATCATTATATAAATTATTCTAGAGTGTATTTAATTAGGATAAAATTACTTCCTTAGTATGGATATTTGACATATATAGGTGAATTTGTTTACAAATATGGACATATGAAAATTATTAGCATTGACTTTATGTTTGCTACTTGGCTTTACACCATATCTCCTGAGCTGAAAATTATTTGCCAGGCCTTTGAGATCCCAAAGAAACACTCTAATTTAATGGAATAAGTCATTTTTTTTCTTACTAAGGAATTGTATTATTGGCATCTGACAGAGTTATATCCTTAACTCCTATTATAGATAATAAGCACTTACATAAAATATTCATGGTGGTTTGATGACAGACTAAACCCTCCTGAGTTGTGAGAAGTATGGACACACTCCCCTGTAGAAAACAAGTCAGACAGCAAATTTGACAAGAGATATTCTGCTTTAATATGATCTCAACCAGTTCCATGAACTGAGTAAAAGGACCTTCATTTTCAAAGTCATTTAATATTGAGCTTCACCTATACTCCAGAGATCTATTGGCATTGTTAAAAATCAGTATATCAAATATCTAACTAAGGATGTAGTTAGCCTTATTAAATATTGATTAGAATTGTTCTGTAATATTACTGAATTTGTAAGATCTTTAGCAAAGATTTTTGAGCAATTTATAAATATAGAGCAAATGTTTCTGTTTACTGCACTTTTTGTAACTGAAGGTGATAAATTCTCAAGCCATGATTAAGTGGCTCCCATGCACTGCATATTTACCCACCTTTCTAGACATTTTCCATTTCTATGGAAGAGTTGCTATTACCTTAATTATAAATACAAATTGTGTGGTTAATGAAAGCTAATGCTAATAGTTAACCTTTAAAAGTGAATTGGCTACAGTTTAGGGAGAAATCTCTTTTAATACAAATCATGGCATTCCTTAACTGTCTCACTTGAAAAGAGATTGAAACTTTTTTTTTTAAGCATCATTTAGCATCCAAGCTTCCCTAGGGTAGAGATTGTATCTCTTCATGCCTACACAATGGCCAGCACATGTCAGCATTTGATAATTGTTAAATGACAAGTGTATCTCAAATAAAACTTTTTTCCTGGGTTGTTCTGGCAAATTTATAAAAGTATACCAAGCCTTATGGTTAACATTTTCTTCCACAACTAAGTATAAAAAGCCACATTTAAAAATACCACATGAAATGCTGATTCTAATTGTGTGTAGGTCTTGAGGGTTAAGCACACAAATTTCACAAAACTCTGTGAGTAATCAACTCAGCCTTCTGTACATATACATACAAGTTTGGAAACAGTAATACTGTACCTATAAATATATGCTGTCTGTTTTGTGTACAGTATGTAAAAACTCCTTTTCTGCCACACTAAAAATGCAAGCCATTTATGGGAATCCTAAAAAGTAGTATTGAACTAAACCTTTGCTAATGATCTTTATTAGAGGATCATCCAACTTCTCACTTACATTGGGTTTTCTTTTCAATTCACTCTTTACAGTAGTCTGCTTATTTCCAGCTGTTTATTTTATTGAGTCCTGAATTTAAAAAAAAATATTTTGATTCATTTTGTAAATACGAGCTGTAAAAAAAGAGAGATTTAATGTTGTCTTTTAAATACTCCAATTTTCATTCTAATATGAATGTTGTTATATTGTACTTAGAAACTGTACCTTTAATATTACATTACCTTTATTAAAAGTGCATTGAACACATCAATTTTAGATGTGCTTTATGTACTGTTATCCTATAATAAAACTTCAGCTTCTAATGGAATATGTGCCTTGTTTTTCTTATTTTTCTTTGGTCATTGAGTGGTATTATACATCATTTTTCAGCATACATCATGTCTCTAATGAATGACCTACTACTGAACTTTCACAGCCAAAGTATGAACGACAGACCAGCAACATTGGAATCATATGTAATGTTTTTAGAATTGCAGAATCCCCACCATCAACTTCGACTCAGCAAATCAGAATCTGCATTTTTGTTTAAAAAAAAATCCAGATTAGCCAGGCATATTAGCGCATGCCTGAAATCCCATCAGCTCCAGAGGCTGAAGCAGGAGGATAATGAGTTCAAAGCCAGCCTCAGTAATTTAGCAAGGACCTAAACAACTCAGGGAAAATCCTGTCTCTCAATAAAATACAAAAAGGGCTGGGATGTGGCTCAGTGGTTAAGTGCCCCTGGGTTCAATCCCTGGTACTATATATAGAAAGGGGGGGGGGGAGGGATACTGGAATAGTATAGATTAAAGTCAAGGGGGGGCTGGTACTGGGGATTGAACCCAGGGGCTCTCTATATCTCTACCACTGAGCTACATCCCCAGCACTTTTTGCTTTTTATTTTGAGACAGGGTCTTATCAGGTTGCTGGAAGTCTCACCAAGTTTCTGAAACTGGCCTAGAACTTGGGCTTTTCCTGCTTCAACCACCTGAGTCACTGGGATTCCAAATGTGCATCTGTATGTCCAATTCATTTAGTAATTTAAAAAATATTAATTCATTTGCATTAGTATAAAGAGAAAGCAAAGAAAAACATTTTTACTTGTGAGATAATGGCTAATGATGCTGTTGGAAAACAAAAGGCAGAGTTTAGAATTCTGAGGCTACTTCCTGTCTCAAAGGAAAAAGGTGCTTGACTGAAAATTGACACCTTCCTTAAGCATCAGAGAAATCCTGAATGCATATTGTACTTTGTCATCTTTGCTTTAGAAATGGTTGAAATGGAATGACAGAAATGATGCCATGACTGACCTGCACTGTCATTGTCCCATCCCCACTCTCCTCTTGAGATCACTTAGGGGTGAACCATAAACCTAACATCAGCTAAATGCACTTTAATGGTGCAACAACCTTAGCATGAATTATTTTTAAAATAATATCAAGGTTATTTGAGTTGTGAAATATTATGAAGCCAGAACAAAGGCAACTGAGTTGGCATTTTTCTCTACATACTCTAGAGTGCGTAAGCATCCCTTAAGATCAGGAGGCATTCAATAAATATTGTAATTGATCCCCAAATTCACAGCATGTAGAAAACTGTCCCAAATCCTGCTTCTATTTCCAACTATGAGAAAAGGAAGAGTGAGATGTTATTGTACACATGAAATCTTTGTAGACCATCAAGTTCTACATAATTATAACTATGTACTGCTGTTTAGTGTCTGAGGAAATTGTTAGTTAAAATAATGAAGTTCAAAATGTGAAATCTGTCACCTCGAGGCCTTTGCCCAAATTTATACTTAAACTTCTAAAAATAATGAGTATGCTCTTCTGTATCTCAGATGAGCTTGCTCAGTGTCCAGGAGGGAACTTCATGGGAGAATAAAAGGGACTTCTTAGAATTCTGCTTACAGGTGTGATGGAGCACACCTACATCCTAGTGGCTCGGGAAGCTGAGGTAGGACTGCACATTCAAAGCTAACCTCAGCAACCTATCAAGGCCCTAAGCAAATTAATGAGACCTTGTCTCAAAGTAAAAAAATAGAAAGGGCTGAGCCTGGGTTCAATCCCTGGTACAAAAAAGAGGAAGAAGAAGCTGCTTATAAGAATGTCACAATATCTCACAGGAAAATCAGAAAGGACAACAAATACCACGTTATTAATAAACTCTAGGAAAGACTAGCAGGTAAGACCTGACCACAAGAATGTGTTGGTTGCTACTGTTACTACTAAACTTTTTCACGAGGGAAGATCAAGCAATCAGTCTAGCCTCTCAAAATTGGACACCCGATATGCATTTGGATCAAATGGACAGGTGCCAAAGCTCAGCTTCTCCTAACTGGTCTATGAGAACACGCGCCATGCTCCTTGTGCAAAGAAAGATAACTGCCATGCAGAGGCACAGCTCAGCACCTTGGTTCCTTCCTCTTTTGAACAAGAAACTGAAAATGGGCCCAGTACTGTTCAAAGCTATAGAAGTGTAGGAGAGGTATTCATGTCATACAAGTCAAGAAGTGTAGGAGAGACTATTCATGTCATACAAGTCACCAGAGAAAGGAAGAAAAGAAGATGCTTTCACATGTTAGGGATTTAAGAAACTTGGGAGCATGGAGAAAATTTTTCTGTCATTTACAGCAACATGGATGAGCCTAGAGGACATTATGTGAAATGAAATAAATCAGTCACAGAAAGAAAAGTATTGCATATTCTCTCTCATATGTGGAAGCTTAAAAAAAAAAAAACTTGATCTCATACTAGCAGAGAGTAAAATAGTGATTACCAGGGGCTGGAGACAGGGAAGGGTAGCAGGAATAGAAAGGGCAGATAATAAGTATCAAAATAGAGGTAGATAAAAAGGTAAGTTCCAGTGTTTTTCAGCAGAACAGAGTGACTATAGTTAACATCAACTTACTATAGATTAAACAATAGCTAGAAGAGAGGATTTTCAAAATGCCCAACACAAAGAAATGATCAATGTTTAAGGCAACAGAAATGCCAATTACCCTGAATGAATCATTATAGATTGTATGCCTGTATCCAAATGTCACACTGTATCAATGTGTACAATTATGTGGAAATTAAAATGCTGAAAGGAGGGACTTTTTGACAAAAGGACCCTCCTGATTCCCAGAAGAATCACACTAATGGCATCTACAGCCACTGTCCCCTGCCTCCACCTCTAAACAGTGGCAGAAACCTCATCCTACAAGACTAACGGGAATGCTGTTCTTTCACCATATCCAGATGTGAGCTAAGAAAAATCCTGTTTTTCCCCAATTCCATTTAATTCTAATATTGGAAAGAGTTAACAAACTAGTCTTTTTGCAAGACTCTGGAACTTTTTATCCTTAGGAGGAAAAATATACTAGTAAAACATAGTAACCTCTCAGTAATCATCAAATATTTTATCATTTTTGTTGGTTGACTTCTCAAATATTTTAAATTTCATATAACTTCCCCTTTGTGGAGAAGAAGTTGCTTCATCTATCAATTGTTCTATGGTTCATGCACAATTCATTTTAATTTTAGTCTCACCCCAAATTAACAAAGTGATCTCCTACCAAGTCCCATGGCCACCACTTCTACCCTTGTCTTTTTACCCAAGTAAAATGCATACCACATCCTAAAGACAAATATACATAACTTTTAAATTACTTGGAATTATCTCTGCTATCATTTCCCTTTCTTTTTGGGATACTAAGTATTCCTTATAAAAGCTCAGCTTTCACATGAACAATTATAGCTGGGCCTTTTTTTTTTTTTTTAAGCCCAAGGACTATATAATACAAAACACACCAAAATATATTTTAGAGAATATTATCTTTTGCCAGGAGCCATGGTACACACCTGTAATCCCAGCTTCTCAGGAGGCTGAGACGGAGAATCACAAATTCAAAGCCAGCCTCAGCAACTCAGCAAGGTCCTAAGCAATTTAATGAGACGCTGTCTTGTCATAAAAAAATAATAAGAGCTGGGGATGTGACTCAGTGGTTAAGCATCTACGACTCAATGGTTAAGCACCTCTGGGTTCAATCCCTGGTACCAAAAAAAAATCTTGTAAGCAAAGCAATCTGAACACTTTAGCTATTCTAATCCAACACAGAGCCAGAGTATTTTGCTGGGTTTTAGAATTGACGATGGCTCCTTACCCACCTGAAATACCATTACTGACAATCTTGATTTGACAAACTGGTATTATCAACAATATTTCCTCAAATTTTCTAATCAATTACTAGACTAAAACCTTTTTGCCAAAGGACCATTTCTGGATTCTCATTCTGCAAGCATCTTATGTATGGTTTATGAAGAAATTCAGTGAATGAAGTAGTGATCAAGCTATAAACTCTCCAAGGCTGTGTTCACTCCAAATCAAGCAAAGGAAGCTCATTATCAGAGGGGTAGGAAAATGACTCAGTACTGATAAAGTGATTTTAAAAAAAGACAATCTTGCACATTTCTCTATCTTTATGTAGACTACAAGAAGAAATATACACCCAGTAACAACTGAGATCATTTCACTTAGCCAGTGCTTGTAGCTTTAAGAATTTTTGAAATTTTGGTCCCATGAAACATTATAAACTCAAAACAAGTACAGATTGTTACAAATTCTTTCCAAGTTTCTCATTCAACTTCTGGGTTTATTTGTTCCTTAGTTCAGCAGAAATGGAAAACCAGATCTTTCTTTTACTTAAAAATCTCTCTCTGTCTCTCTCTCTCTCTCTCTCTCTCTCTCTCTCTCACACACACACACACACACACACACACACACACACACAAATATTCCACTCACTTTGGAAAGCAATGTGGCTCTCTCTTAAAAACTTAATCAAAAAATTTACCACTCAGCAACTCCACTCCTAGACTACTCAAGAGAAATAAAAACACAAAGTTCACATAAAGATTTTATGTCAATGTTATCAGCAATATTATTCATAATAGCCCAAAAGTGGAAACCATCTGAATGTTCATCAAATGTTGAATGGGTAAACAGAATGAGAAACATCCATAAACAAGCACTTAGCAGCAACACAAAGGAATGGCCTACTAATACATATGGAGACATGGATGATCCTAAAAACACTATGCAAAGCAGCCAGCTGCAAAAGACTACATAGTCTACATTTACATGAAACATCTAGAAAGGACAATATACAGAGCCAGAAAGTAGATTTGTAGTTGTCTGCAGATAAAGGTAAAAAGGATTAACTGCTTTGTGCACAATTAATTTTTTAGGGTAATGAAAATGTTCTAAAAGTGGGTAGTATTGACGGTTGCAAAACTCTGTACATCTACTATAAGTTACTTCATGGTATAATTAAAAGGAGTGAAT